CCAAAAAAAAAAAAAAGAGGTCAGGCAGGGAATCACTCCTTTTGAATAAAAAAAAAAAAAAGTACCTACCAGGCTACCACGCAACAACTGACTATGATTTTCAAGATATCACCTAGGTTGTCATCCATGAGCTCCACTTGAGTGGGAGTTATGAATTCGTATTTTCTGGCCTTCGACTACAGCAACAAGAGCCGAGTCTCTTAACCACTACAGCCATGACACGGTGTACAAAAGTGGACCATACCGGTCGTGATATCCACCCCACCCCTCCAAGGCTGCAGTGTCCTACTCTATTCTCTCCACGCACCACACACTCAACACCCACGGTTGCGGTGATTTTCGCACACTTCTCTCCAAGCCAGCACATGACCTTCGACTGCTACATTGCCTGGTCACCACACGGGTGGTGAAGCTCTACCCATAGGTCGCACAGGAGCTTCCACAGTAGTTATGAATCCGTACTTGGTTCGTCTGCAATCTATACACATCCTCCGTGTTCGAAAAAAAAAAAGCCTTAAACGGTTAAACCACCACTACCTCCGAGCCTTTTATTGCCAAGGCGGAGCAGAACTGCGCGAAAAGCTTTGGCCGAAGCACCAGTGCGGCATTCCTTGTTTTGTTTTGGCTGGCGCCGCCAGCCTTTTTGGTCCGATAGCACCCGGCCTCCGTCGGGCTCCGAAGAATGCAGTATAGTTTATATTTACGACTTGACTTCCAGCCTGAAAGGTAGTGGTGGTTTAAGAAAAAAAGGAAGAGAAAAAAGGGGGGTATCCCCTAACATTGTTGCATGCATGAGGAGTTGAACTTATGATCTGTTTATCAATAGTTACATGGATTTGCCATTTGGGAAAGGAGGTGATTAAGGCGATAGGGTCACGACTCTTTTTTTTCTTGTTTGTTTTACAGAACCGATGTCTTCATTGCTGTCGCACCACAAGCCCTCCGGATATTGATTGAATGGAACACACATGCAGGTTACCAACACATAATATGATAATACACATCCTAATACCAGAGGCTCCACACACCCTCATACCAGAGGCTGTCGCACCACAAGCCCTGCGGATATAATTTGAAACAACCGCCCATTCATTTGGGCCTCAAGCTTCTTCTTCTTCTTCTTCTTCTTCTTCTTCTTCTTCTTCTTCTTCTTCTTCTTGAACCATTTCTCGATTTATGCATGTCATATTGGAAAAACTTGCAGGTCATTAAAAACTCGCAATCCCAGCAGTCCCAGTGCCCAACAGTCCCAGTCTGCAGTCCTGGTCATTACACAGTTATACTTCTTTGTAGCTCTCCACGAATGAGGCGAACCGAAAAGTTCAGGTTTTTTTTTTTTTTTTTTTTTTTTTTGAAGGGTTGACAAAGCCCCTGTAAAGAATTACTGGATGTGCAACAGAGCAGGGGTGGAGTCGGGGTAAATCGACCGACAAAAGGTCACACAAAAATTTGCTGCCAGAATCAAGTGAGTTTGATTTCAAAGGCCCTGCCAGATTTTCTTGGTAGAGGCAACATGGTTGCACTGTCTTGCACTTAGGATCCCCTGTATCAAGTGTCTTTGTTTTACAGGATCAGTATGATTCTCCTGTTAAGAAAAAGGGCCTCTGCCACATTTACCGCATTTATTTTGACAAAATCGCCAATGTGGGTAATCAATGATAAATCGTCATTGTGCGAGGAATGAGCCCTCGCGGGGCCCTTATCAGACATACAAGTGTTCTGGGCTGCGGCCCCTAGCAAGCCTGTGCCAGCCCTAAGTGAAGGTGGGCCTGAATATCCAAGAGAGGCCAATTTTCAACATTCTTCCATATGTGGGTATTCAGACAGTTGCATCATGCCAGTTGGTTACGGAGCAACGTGAGCCTCCAGGCTCCTTCCTGAAGCAAGAGCTGCGCTGTACAGTTGAGCCCAGGGCTCAGGTGGTTGCGCCCTCGGCACACGCTGTGTGAGGCCGACACATCACGGACTGGCCGCATGCCAACGAGAAAGCAGCAACACCGTCACACAAGAGTCAACAGCCAATGGGAATGCTGCGTACACTTGGAAGCTGCGTGGCTGCCCAAATGTGCCTAACTGCACGGGGCCCAGGCCAGTATCGGAAACTGGGCCTGGGCGCAGACACTTGGGGCCAGAGGCAAGCTACTGGGCCCCCCACACGCCTGGCCAAGCCAGCCAGACACGGGCACACGTCCCATAAAGGAAAGTGTCTGCCCCAGCGCTGGGGCATTCTGGCCTGTGCAGGTATTGCGGCCACACTGCTGCATTGCTCTGCGAAGCTGCGCTATGCGTGCAGGTTGGGGCGCACGCAGTGTCGGAGGTCGCGGTGTCCCGGCCCTCCGCTGCGTGGTAGACATCTGCTCGTGTAACCACACTGTGTACCAGGCGTCTGCTCACAAACCTTCGCTGTTCACCAGTCGCCTGCCCAGGAAACTCTGTGGTGTACCAAGTCTCCGCGGCGTGCCAGGCAGGCTCGGCCAGGATCGAATTTGCTACGGACCGATCCAGTTGGCGCTTGCACCGGCAAAAAGGTGGGTGCGTCACTGGGCTTTCCATTGGTCCACACAGGCTCGGCGCCCTGCTGTACAGCAGAGCACTACCGGCCTGTGGCCGTGGTAGCCGCCGGGCTCGCCCAGGGACGCAGAGGAAGCAGGACCGGCGCGGTCTTTTCCGCTGCGCGCTGAGTACTCTGTAGCCGAGTTATGGGAGACATACAGGACAGCAGTTATAATCGTAAAGAAAAGGGAAAAGGGAAGAAAAATTAAGAAAAAGGAAAAGAAAGAGCGACGCTTCAGATTGTGGTTCTCGCTCAGTTAGAAAGGTCCGAAAACACAGCGGCGCTACGCTTCTTTTCCTTCTTTCTTTTTTTTGTGTTTTTGTTGTTGTCTTTTCAGACTTAGTTCTCCTTCTGCCTCCCTGCGGGGGAACGAACGATCCGTTTTTCGAACTGAAGTTGCGAATGAGCGGCTTAGGCTGGCTTGGCCTTCTGCGCTCCGCTTACCATAAATGCGATCGATTAAGTACCGTGCCGTGGGTCCCCAAAATGGGAGCACGCGCGGCCGCGTTGGTAGGGAGCTCATCACCTCCCATGGAAGGTCATAAGCCCTCTCCTTACCATCGGACAGGGGTACCCATGAGGGATAATTCGGCGACCTCCTTTGAACCCGTATCCCGTTATGGGACCACACCAACAAGCCTGCGGTCGTTTCATACCGAAAATGAAGAGACTAGCGACTGATAGCAGAGTGAGCCGTCTGCGTTACGACCGTTGAGGTTCGACCTCTCACTTTCTCTCTTTAATTTATTTTATCCTAGTTTACTATTTTCTGAATTTATATATCGCTAAGATACTGGATTCTAAAATTCGCCTGAGTCCTTTGTTCAGAGCACGAGAATCGCGGTCTGCGACGAACCTATAAAGAGCGAGGGAGGCGAGCCTTTGGCTACTTGGACATGGGCAGGCTCGTTACGAAGTACTCGCAGGCAGAGGAGAGGGGGCTGAGCGGCAGAGTGAGCGTCAGGCAGTCCGTCTGAGTGTGTGTGTACTGAGTGCTAAGTCCGGACTGTTTCGGAGTCGGCGGCGTGGTAACGTATATTGTCCGATCAAGGGGATTCGACCATGGTGCGCAGCAATGGGTTGTACGGGTATAGGCCAAGATACTTCCAGTTCCTCTGGAGGGGGAGCGGATGTCTGGGGAAGGGCCGGTGGTGACCACCGTTCTGGACTACAGCCACTGCAATCAGGAGGCAAGGCTGAAGATAAATGTAGAAGGGGGGAAAGAGGCGGAGATGAGAGCGGACCAAGGACTACAGGCGGCCATCAGAGAAGCCAAGGACCGGGTCAAGAGAAGGTGCAGGAGAGACGAAATTACTGATGAGGTGAATGTGACCGTCGTGTACCAGGAGCCGGAGACCTCTACTGACACAACGGAGCGCGAACAGCAACACCTGGACCGCGACACAGAAGTTGAGAGCGATGCAAGCGACTTGGCGGCCAAGACCCAGTCCTGGTGCGGACTGGACCAAGGGTGTCGAGGCACCTGCCCCTTGAATCAGTGGAAGATGGTCCGGAAGCCAGCTCGCGACGGAGGCCCAAAGGCGGGGAGGCGGTTACACGCGCGGAAGGCAGAGTCATGAGGGACAATGAGCCGAGAAAATGGGGTCGGAAGAGAGAGACGCGCGTGAAAAGTCAAAGAGATAGAGAGGGCAAGAGAAGGGTCCTCCTCGCCACTCCCTTGGTTGACGTCAACTATTTCCGCAGGCTTCACACATGATGATCTAGCGAAGGGAACCGTGATGTGGAAAATGGCATACAGTGGGAGCCACGATGCGTCAACTGTGTGTGCTCTGATGGTAGACTGGCTAGGTTAACGCCAGCAGCTTCCCTGGCCGATATGCGCTTGCCGCGTTTGGCGATTTTCGTCTCTATCTCGGTGATGGCTCGTGCGAGGACCCAGACTATAATGTTGTTTCGATTTTTTTGGATAAGGGATGGGCGGACGGGTAAGGCTGTGTGTGAGCTCAGCACAGTTTTGTGAGCGATCAATGGGGCACCATACCAACCATCACGTTGTCGTGTGAATCGGTCCCACGCCGCGCAGGGCGGGACCCTCCCGGCCGCGTCACGCAGGAGTTGGTCTACTCCTTGTCGCGATACACATGGGGCGTC